GTAACTACAGTATCAAAACACAATGGTCATCCTAGGAAACTGTCGAATACACCATAATTGAATCACAGTACTATTGACTTCCATTCATGTAATCTTGCGAACCACCAGAGATAGACAGCATCAAACACCCCAGGGAAGCAAACACAAACAATATCCCTGGGAAGTAAAGGAGATAGCCTGCACTATCCAGGAAACTTTTCAATGTTCAACGTTTCTGCTTGCAGTTGTGGCCGTTCGAGTTTCTGCTGGAGCCCATGAGGTATCTCTAGAGACGTTTTTTGCACTATCATTTGTCACGCCTGTGCAAACTCTCTGCTCGTTTCGATCCAATCTTTGTCAAGCCGTGTTCCGCCTTTCCAAAGATTCCTGCCAGATCCTTCTCAACGCGGTCAGGTCATTCACAAAATGCCAAACTAAACGCAGTTCTGGTTTGTGCTTCCCAGTGCACAGACATGTTCTCGTGCTACACGAGGCCAAAAACGAGGGTCTTGTACCAGACTTCCACGTAAACCCAGCAACCTTTTTGGAATTCTTTGGAGACCGATTGGATGGAAAGCCATGGCCAGATCACCGCCAGAAAACTAGCCACTACGTGAAAGTTTGCTCACGCTACCGCCGAACCTCTGCATCTCAGTGTTGGTGAAACAGCTCATCATAATAACACATAAAGGTTTGCAAGGGCTTGTCGGAAAAACTATAAGTGTTACTACATATAATACGATATACGGAGGTTCTTTATTCTCAGGGATTGCAATGTACGGTTGATGCCAGTGACCTTAGTTCAAATCTGCACGGAAATTGTCCTTTGGAGGTTGGTCAAAAGAACAAGTGACTGCCAAGCGGAAGCCAAGGAATCACCCAATAGTGTAGGAAGTGGCTTTCTGAAGCATGACTCTGGCAGCAACCTCTTGTGTGACCCATTTGGTTGGATCTGCCTCGGGGCCTCGGTCCCATCCTTGCTCATCTTGCTTGCGGCCTCCTGTTCTTCTGCCTTTGTTGAAGGGAGGCCAGGCCTCTTTCTCAAGTGACTCCTCTGTTACATTGTTGCTCTTCGGGGGGAACCGCTTCGGGCTCCCTCAACTTCCTCTTCCTTTTCTTTCTCCATTCGGGGCCGCGCGCCCGTCTGGTGCCAGCATCCCTTCCCATTCTTCTGCCTTGCCAGCTGCCTTTGTAAGTTTGGCTTGTCCAAATCCAAAGAGGATGAGAGTCAGAGGAGCGGGCTAAAGAGCCCTTAAAGGGAATTCCCAAACGCCACCGAACAAAGGAAGCTCACAGTCCGAGGTGGATAATTTTTGTTCAGGAAGTTCATCCGTCATTCCCTGAGCTTGAGGTAATTTCTTGAACATTCTCAAGAGTTCAAAGGTTCATTGGTGCATCCCTTTTGATCCTGGGGAGAGTTATGGCAAAACATGAACGTTTTGTTTTGCAGCCAAGCACGATGCCATGCTGATGTAGGGTGTGCTGGGAGTCAGAAATGGCATGCGAAACTGCGAGACTGCGAAACACCGTGTCAAGTGAAGAAAAGCGTGCATGCTGCAACGAAACACACTGTAATGCTGATTATTGGAGTTGGTCAATTGGCAGACATAGCAAAGATTTTGCATCGAAACACACTTGCCATTCCAGCCATCAGAAATTGCTTGTGTTTTGGAGCGAACAACATGTAATTAAGCAAAGGATCTTGTAGCCACCAGCCAAGAGGCTGATTTCTTTTTCAGCGCTGGAAGAAAAACACATCACAGATGTACGGTTGACTTCATTTTTACTTGTGGCGCACAAGACAGCAGTTGGCTCCCTACCGCATAGTCTGCTCATGGTATAGTCAAACAGGGACCACTGTGCTGAGATGGTCTGAACTTGTGGCAGGAACCTGGCACTCCCAAGACCAAGAACAACCAGAGGAAACCCAAAGAAGCAAGGCGATCAAATGACTGTTAAGTTGGTGTTGTTTGTGTTCTTCGCCACTGCCACAAGGGATGTTGCCTCACAATTGCTTGGGCATGCGTTTGCTGTACATGCACATCCTGGTCCATGTTCTATGGTTTCTACCTGCCAGCAACATCGAAGCAAAAGTATCAAAACAGCCTGCCGCTCTTCTCCTTCTTATTGGGTCCATCCTTTGAGCTTCAAACCAGCATGGGCGGAAATATATAAGTTGCATGTTTGAATCTCAACTATCAGTCAACAATGGAAAGAAGGCTAGGCTACCCCTTTGTTCCAGATGTGTGCATCTGTGAACATGACTCAGTGGCTGATGGAAGCCATTCTCAGCTCCTGAAACGGTTGTTTGGACTGAAACACGTGGTTTGCATGAGGGGTGCCTTCAGCGCCAGCATTGGCAGTCCGGCCAGGTGGTGAGGATGGTGCAAACGACGCATTTGTCCCAACTATGGCACCGGATGCTTCGGTGAAAAAAGTGCTTCTGCACACGATGCACACTCATACAAGGTAGGTGGCCAGTGGCGAGGTAGCTCCAATCAAGATTTTGGTCTGGCACTATTTTTACACTCTAATTATAGGATAAGCTGGTTCCATTGGTACGTTGTTTGAACATCACTCACATCTATTGTTGTTTTTCACATGAATCTGAATTATTGTGTCGAGATGCAACACGTGAACTCTCCGAAGCCAACGGAAATCCGTTGCCAGGGAATATCCACCACTACTCCAGTGGCTTGGGCCATCTCATTCCCACAGGATGGAGTACAGATGGCTCTGGCGGGGTGTTCAGGCTCCGGCGGCTCAAGAACCAACGGATCCAACGGAGTAGGTGAAGACGTGGAGAAGAGCACGCACCAGCAGGTCTATCCTCAGAGCTCCACGCACGGAGACTCCGTGGCGAAGGCCCGCTCTTCAGACAGCAATTCTTGCCACTAGCAACAAGGAGCAGTCAGGTCCAAGACCTCAAGTAATTATTTCTTGGATACCAACGTTTGGCCTGCCAACTAAGGCTGTTGCTGGAGCACTGCGGCCTTGAGGATACAACCAAGCGGGTGTAGAACTCGGTGTGGTTCGTCCAGCTTGCAGATTTGACATGAGTGCTGGACAGCTCCACATAGCTTTGAACTTACTTGCGACTGTCATAGTGATGTTGGTTTTCAGGTTCGTTTGTGGTGGCCGGAGCCTTGATTTGCCGCTCTAACAATTGACCAGTTCAAACAGCCGGTTCAAGCAGCATGTGATTCATGCAAAGTAGTTTTCTGCAACGCGTTAACAGGACATCTCTTGTGACGCTTTCAACCATTTCTGAAGTCCTTGGTCTTGTGTGGATCTACATCATCTTCATTTGGACATGTGTCTACATGTTTGTTTTGCTACTGTAGGTGTTTTCATCTGTGAGAACCCTCAGGTTTTACAGCCGCAAGGATGATGAGAAGAAACACAGCTTTCGGGAATTGCCTCGAGAGGTCTGACGGTCAGAGAGCTCCCGCATCATCGAGGGATTCCCACGATGAAGAAATGGTTTTCTGGAAGAAACGAGATTCAACTTCTTCACTGTATATTCACTGCCTTCTTCTAAAGTCATGCGACAGTGTCAGAGGATGCGGTTCACAAGAGTTGACACCACTTGCAGGTCCTCGATGGCGAAGAACTTCCTAATCATGTGCATGTGGTTTGAAGCTTGGACAGTGAGTCTTGTGTACACGAACTACTTGGTATGCTGTGATTGAAACTGCTCAACTGAAGACAGATCAAAGCATCAGATGGATGGCCAATCAGAGACAGTTCTTCTGTTGTGATAAACAATGACAGTTCGTTGCAGTCCACTTCTACATAACAGCATGACTTGAGACACATGTAAGCCTCTTTTTCATTCTCATCACTCCATTTGTTGAGGTATCCAAAGTGATTCCTGTTGACGGCCAAGGCAAAATCGCAAAAGGCGGACGTGGACCTGAACACATGTCAGAATCAAGTGTAAAAGGGTGGCTGAAAAGACTCCAAGCAAGTAGTGTTGGCTGTACTCGTAGCAGTCTTAGCCGCTTTGCTTCTGTACTTTGGAGCCACAGAGTGTGAGTGCAGGCAACGAAAAGACCAGTGGCGAGAAGCTGGCAGAGCAGATTTTTCAGGCAGAGGGTGTCCAAAAGGAAAGCAAGAAGTGATAGCTGAGGACCGATTCACTGCGGGATCTCAAGATGTGCTCATACTGTATTTGTGGAAGCATGTGGGAGCTCTTAGCTCCCAAATTGTGCTCGAACAATCTTGAACATGCATTTTAGCAACAAGATGCCTTTGGGTGCGTTCCAACCTTTTCAACAAACACAAATTGCCGTAGCGACTGCCAGGCTGCATCTGATCCATCCTTCAAGCCTCAGGTGGATGTCACCTGTGCAGAGGTGCCAAAGACGACGCTGATCGCACAGAAAAAGCCCCGAGAAGTAGAATGGAGTGATTTCGCTATCTTGAAGCCCTTAGACATCTTTAGAAGTGGAAAGGCATGACAGGTGACAATCGCGACCAGTGCCGTGCTGTTCAGGTGTCTGCTGGATGTGCTGGACAGCTTTCGCAGTTCCTTTGGGACTCAAACTTGCTGGGCCGGGTGGAAGGCTCTCAGGAGGCGGGCCCGGCTCCACGCTGCTTTGGCCGCGGGAAAAGATTGGGAACCTTTGTTGATTTTTTTGCTTACAATGGTTGCAGAGACAATGCTGCACTTACGTACTCACGAGCCCTTTCTGGCTTGCCCGTGACCCTGTCACAGACTTTTGCGATTGCTGCGGCAATTGGGTACAGTTACTGTCTTTTTTGTGATTGTACCACCCCATGCGCTCTTTTTTTAGCCCTGCTGATGCACACACAGAACTTTCTGAGCAACTGCCACCAGGTTATCGATATCATTGTGGCCCCCAACGTGTTCATCTCTTGGAGAAAGGCCAGGGTGTAGTGGCTTTGCACTTATGCACGATTCCGGTCTAGTCAAGAATAGACCTGAACGTTCTTGTCTTTATTGATCGTACTGGTAGTGGTTCAAGGCCTCTTCTGACAATCGAGCAGTAGCTCGCATGAAGCAGATTGACCTTGTTCAGAAGGATGGGCAAACCTGGCGCATTGCTAGACACAAGGTGACATTCTCTTTTGGGCAAGAGTTTGAAGAGTCGAGACGGCATTGAGTTCCGCGCCTGTTTGGCAGGTCCAGCCAGGTATTCAGCTTTCCGGCCGGTTAGGGGCTCAGAGGTACCATGGTTGCTCCAGCCGCTGGTTTGTTCGCATTTTTTTTAAAGATCCATGTTGTTGTATTGGCAAACATATACTTCCGAGGGTGGCCTTAGTGGATCAAGGCCAAGTGAGCTTTGCAATAGGTGATTTTTTTGTCATGGACGTTGATATGGGCGGCGAAGCGCCTGCCGGGCTTCTGCCCTGGGTGGAAAAGTATCGGCCATCTTCCTTGGACCAACTTGTTGCCCATGAAGATATCATTCGGATGATCGAGCGAATGATGCTGAAGCAGACTTTGCCCCACATGCTCTTGCATGGACCACCTGGCACAGGCAAGACTTCCACAATCATTGCACTGGCCAAAACCATGTACAAGCAGCGCTACAAGTCCATGACATTGGAGATGAACGCATCAGACGCACGAGGCATTGACGTAGTCAGAGAGCAAATCAAGACCTTTGTCAGTGTGAAGCAACTTTTTGCTTCTGCGGAAGGACAGCCGAAGCTAGTGATTCTGGATGAGGCGGACAACATGACCAGCGCAGCCCAGTTTGCACTTCGCAGGATGATCGAACAGTATGCCTCAAACTGTCGTTTCATCCTGATTTGCAACTACAGCAGCAAGATCATCCCGGCGTTGCAGTCGAGGTGTACAAAGCTGCGGTTCGCTCCATTGAGCGAGGAGCAGATCTTGGGGAGACTCCATCACATTGCCAAGTGTGAAAAGATTCACTTGAGCGAAGATGGAGCGAAAGCAATAGTAGAAGTTGGTGGCGGAGATATGAGAAAAGTCATCAACATTTTCCAGACCACCTCGATGGGTCACCAGGGCAATGTGGATTCCAAGGCAGTGTATGCCTCGACAGGTGTCCCTGCACCTGAAGAAATCCAGCACTTCTTGAGAACATTGCTGAATGGCTCAGTTTCCTTCGCAGCAAGCTTGAAGTCATTGAAGTCCATGCTGAACTCCAAGGGTTATGCGCTGGACGATTTCTTGCAGCTCATGCACAAGCAGCTGATTGTTCAGGACACGCTGACACCTCGCCAGCGTCTTCAACTGACAGTAGCACTGTCGGACATTGACTGGCGGCTGAAGCAGGGCTGTGGCGACTCAATCCAGCTGGGCGCCATTATTGGCGTTTTCCAGGAAGCTAGAGCACTGGGAGGAGCGTAGGAAGTATGAGCCTCTTTGGGGTGAGCCAATCCTGGGTGAGTTCTGATTGGCAGTGAAGCAATGACAAAAAGTCGAGGCTTTGATAAGCTGTCTTGGTAGTGAAATTGGAACCTACACACGTAAGACCAGCTGTCTGAACTTGTTTATCCCAAGTTTATCCCTGCCCGGTTGCAGCCGGCTTGAAGGCCGCAAGATCTACATCTGCAGCCTCCGAGTCCCTCGCAGGGGCCTCAGCGCCGTATCATGGGCACCAAGGCACTCTAGATCCATGCAGGCTGCACACTCATGCACACTGCCCCAGCTGTGTTGGGTGTGCGATCCACGTGGCATCCATCCTTTTATGTCTTTCATATCCCAAAACGGACTGTCGTGGGCGGTTGCAATCAGGTGAAGAAATGAAGAGCTTTTTGGAAGCCTGTGAGGCCGGCGTAGCGACTATATATATATACCCTTTGCGAGGGATCCACTGGACCATTCTTAGCCAGCTCCTACCTTGTGGAACTCGCCTTGTGGAATCTACCTATGTCCTAACAAAGAAGGCTTTGCAAAATAAAGAACGGATTCATTCAAAGCTGAGAATTTGCTTCATTCCCGGGTGACCAGGAGCCGGTCTACACCACGGGAGATCAGAGTTTGGCAGAAGCAATGTGGATGGGCAAGGCCAGGCTGTTTGTCAATCTCTTCCAATGATCAAAGGAAGTTTAGGGTGCAAAACTTCCGTGTTACGGACTTTCAACAGCTGCTACTACTACTACTACTAATCAGCTTTAGCTCCAGTCAGCTCTAGCTTTAGTTGTCTCTAACTCCAGTTAGCTCTAGCTCTGGTTCGCTTTAGCTCCAGGTGGATCTCGCTCTAGTTAGCTCTAGCTCCACTCTTCAACATGCATTTTGGAAGGAAGTCTCGTACAAAATGCTTTTTTCAACAGCTCTAGCTCTAGTTAGGTCTAGTTCCAGTTAGCTCTTCAACATGCAGTGGAAGTGCAGATTTCATGGAAGGCGCAGCACTTGGTGAACCTCGAAGT